GTCATATTAACCTCTTGACATACAATGACGTCTCACGTTTCCCAAGCCAAAGTCTGAGTTCAAACTCTGACGTCTGAAGATATTTTTCTACGTGCTTGAGTATGAGAACTATTTTTCAGTTTTCAAGTCAAGTTTACACAAATGTTAAAATGAACATCATTCTTTGATCATATCAAATTTTATTATTAATTCGTGTGTCAAGGGGTTAAACATAGTCATAGTAAAATAGTTATGGGGCAATTGGGTTACTGATCACAATGTGACAAGAACACTTTGAAATTTGACTTGCAAGTAAAGAAAACAATAGTTATTAAGGCTGTGTTTGATTTTGATCATTAAATAGTATATTCTTGGAATATTAATAAAATTTTCATCATTTATTTCTGTATTTTCGAAAATTGTGGTTACATGGTACCTAATGGTAGATTAGGAATGTTCTTGGTACAGTTAGTTTCTCGTCACGAGGATTACAATAATCGTTGAAAACGGGATTCCATTAATCGAGTTGTGCCAAGAAATTACGATTTAATGTATCAGTGTTATGTATACTTCTCGGGACAGATGGTCTCTGTTCGTGGGGATTAGGCTACTTCTGCTAAACGGGATTTCCAGATCCGCATCTACACCTGTTCCCCAGGAACTGGGATTTGTCATTCCCCACTATTTGAAATAGTTTCTCCAATAATCTTTGCTTATAAATCCTATCCAGTCGCGATTAAATATTAACGCGAGTTTATTGAACGAATTATTCTGGCGTGACTCACCTGGACATTGCGACGACTGTAGAAACGGCATGGTACATCGCCTGTTTCCCTCTGTGTTAGTGAAGCATTGACAATAAAACACAACAATACCGGTTATTCGAACGCAACTTTCAATTTCTGTTAACAAAACTCTAGAACAAAACGGCTTATCTAAAGGAAAAGTAAAGCAAAAATCCATGAGAACTGTAGAGAACAAAAGTGAGAGGAAAGAGAAAAGGAAGAGGGAGAGAATCCATTCCTCATTCATTTGAAAGTCCATTCTCATCGAAATGGCTACTGACTTGTCGGCTGATGGCGGAGTCGACGGCGAGCTGGTTTTCAGGCTCTTGAATGCTTTCAGCCATTTGTGCTTGGTACTTCCGGTCGAGCCATTCGACATCTTCCGGCTGCTAACCCCATCCGGTTGGCCGGTCTCTCCCGCCCCGAACAGCTCCTTCTGAAAAAAAAACCAAGCGAAACGTCACCTGTAACATCTGCTCTCCGTCAGACGAGGAGACTTTCGAATAGCATTCAATCCTCTCCCAGCGCTTGAAAATTCTTCACAACTGAGAAATTCTCTCGTAACGGTTTCTGCCAGTTGCAAGACGACGTCATTAAGAAATTAAGTAATTTTATTTTCATTTTGGGAGGAAGTCCCTCTGATTATTCGATCTCGTTCGACATCTCCTGGAAATTGAAATAAGAAGAAAAATTTATCAATGAAGAATCGCGCGTTCCCTTCGATCGTTCCCGTGCCTTTTTCCAATTCGTCTCTCTTATCCCGTTCCTCGTCCCAAGGCTGTTATAATAATGGAAAATGTAAACGGAACCGGATAGGGGCTCGTCACCGCGGCGTCGGGCTTGGACGCCGGATATTGGAAAACTTTTCAGAAAACTTCTCTGTTTCCAAGCGGCGTGACAGCGTAATCGCAGAGAATGGAAATAACCCGAGCTTTTGCACGAGCCGTCAAGCAACTCGTGCACGAACCGTCCGGTAAATAGATATCCGACGAAGTAGGAAGCCAGAACGGTTTTAATACGGCGGCTCGGTCCGCCATTAATTGGATTCTATTGGGAACACCTGACGGCCTGATCAGGTAACACCCGGTTTAGCAATATATTTCCCCATTCGCTCTCTTTCGTTTCATCGAGCAATTTCAATTAAACACGATCAGATAAGTATCGTCGCGTATTGAATCATTTAAACATTTCAACGTCTCGATGTTCGAGAACATGTGAAATTTTGAAATACAATTTTAACGAAAGTTCAGAGAATTTCCCCATTCCCTTTCGTTTCGTTAAACAACGATTGAGCACGATTACAGAGAAATATCATCGCGCGTTGAATATTTCAATATCTCGAAGATATGTACAATTTTGAAATAAAATTAAGCGAGAATTAACACGTGGTTTCATTTCGCTTCAGATATTCCCCGACGTTAGTTCGTTTCATTTCATTCAACGAATCTGGCAATTGAAACGAGACGACGAATTTGTCGAACGGTTACTAGTGATTAAAATTAGGACGTGCATCGATTGTGTTCCAATTACCGAGATTCCTATCGTGTATCGAGCATGATGTTGGGAGGTTCATTCATAAGGACACGGAAGGAGCATCGACCATCTAGCTAAACTGCACTCGCTCGTCTCCGTTAGATTCTGTTCGATTCGAGATTTAACGAAGTTCCCTCGAAGTTTTCGAAATCATTTCCCCAACGTGCGACCGACGTGATGTCAGAAATTTCAGAAATGGCAGCAGAAGACTCGTGTGTTCTTCCTTCGAAATTGTTTTCTCGGAATATTGAAAATAAGAACGTGAGAAGTTACGTCATTGGTGTTGTGCACTCGGTGATCGGACGATCGAAGTGACAACCGTATACAACCGTTATTTACAAGTGGCGTTGCTTTAAATTAAACAATTATTGATCAAACAGTGGCAACAGTACGCCAATTTCTCTTAACGTACGTTACTACTGTCTAAAATCTTGGCGAGCGTCCAAGAAGTTTCTAAGCCATGTATCGATTTCATTGTGAATAAAACTGAAATAGCTTAACACTTTGTGAATAATTAAATACTTTGAAGAAATCAACTCAACCTTACGCGCAGAAGAAATAGAAGAAAAATTTGTCCCAGTGCTCTTAACTTCGGAAAGTGTCGAACAGTCTCTCTGATTCGATGAGAAAAGAAGATCATGAAAAGAAGAATTCTGCTCGAAACGAGCTCCTAGGAATCCCCGTCAAAGTGCCCCGCGAAGAGTCCATTCTGCCAAGCAAGGACACACTCACACACTCTCTCTCTCTCTTTCTCTCCCAAGCGTGAAAAACATTCGATCACACGCAATTGCGAGCACGTGCGGCGAAAAACTCTGTGCCACATGCATGTGTGTTAACCACGGGAACCAAGTGTCTCGACGCTTGCGAACACTATGCGTCACGTGTTCAAACACCATGCATCAGCTGGCGGCCAGACAGCAGGTGACCTAGCTCGTCGACATAGACCTTCGTCACTCGATTCCCTACAGGATCATTTCACACACACAGATTCAGGCACAGATTCACTAAATACACCGTGTACGGACGTGACGGGGCAGCAAGTGGCGAAGATAACCGCAATGGAGTCGCATAGCAACGGAGGGCGGCGAGGATCCACCAGCGCGGAAA